GTGTAGATGAAAGAAAAAAAGAAAAACTTTATTTCGCAAGCAGACTGAACTGAAGGGCTCTCTTGCTTTGCAGATCCACGACTGCAGCATTTTCTGGGGTAGCAAAGCAGCGTTTGAAGCTGGGAGATATGTTTTAATCATTTGGCGCCTTAATGATGACACTGGATTCATTATTAATGGGCCCCATTCCTCTACTCTCCCTCTTCCTCATAACAGTCCAGAGTGAGAGTGGGTATTAGCATTAGCCGCTTTTGCTCTATTTGATCTTTCTGTAATTACACCACATTTTGGAGATCACACCACAAGCTTTATGTTAAGTAAAGAGGCCTTGGAAGTAGCTTTTTTTTTCTCTATACAAATTCCAAACACAATTACCATGGCTCCTTCCCCCCCCCCCTTTTCTTTTTTTCACGATGGAAATCAGTTATTCTTCTCAAACCTGTACATAAACAAGGCCTGGCAAAGTCCCTAGCCATCACTGTGCACAAGTGCATCCTCTCTTAAGCGCCAGTTTCTGAGATGAAGATGAAGATGTAAAAAAAAAAAAAAAAAGAGACAAGCGTGGATGCATAAAAAGACAACTGTCTTCATTTGAGCTGCAGCGCTGCAGGAGTCTCCTTTCAGGTGTGCACCCCCCCCTTTTTTTTTTTTTTTTTCAAATAAGCAGAGGATATAATATCTTTGATGTGCTGGATCTTTATACTCTCCACTGAAGGGATTTACTGTATAGATCAAATTCAGCCTTTATGACACTTCTGAAACTAACACTGAAGAAAAAGTTTGAAAATATTTCAGTAGCTGAGGAATATAAAGCAGCAAAGAGACTTTTTTTTACATCTCTGATTCTCATAAGAGTAAATATTTACTTATGCTAGCTACTTATGCTGCTAAATAAAACCATATTGTATCATCACTTTGCAGATCTCCTTAAATATGAACAGAATCTTTATTAGTTTTGCTGATTTCGCTGAGTGGAGTGATTGAAAATGAGAAACTGTTCATAATGCTTATGAACAAGTAAATCAGAAACATGCTCTAAAAATGAAGATGCACTTGGGGTTAATTATAATGAAGTCTATTAATCAATTCATCCCAGCAGTAACTGATGTTGGTAATTTGGCCTAAATGCATTCAAATACTCCCAAAAATGCTGCAATTAGCGAGACAGCAGCGGTGAATTATTATCTTTAAAAGGAGAGGGTGTTTGGGTTGTTGCCAGGTTGTGAAACCATGGCGGGAGTGTCACTACAGTCCCAGCGAGCCTTAGGGAAAGCAAAACAGGTGAGAAAGGCAGACAGGTTATAGGAGGAAAGAAAGCGGATTGCAGAGACTGGTGATTTGCTTTCTGCACACGGGCGTGAGGGGCATTGCTGCCAGATGGGAAGTTGGAGTCAGAGCTCTCTTTGGGGCACACTAAGCCATTTGGCTCTCATCCAAATGGGTAATTTCACAGGGTTAGAAAAAAAATGCAAAAGAAAAAAAAAAAAAGCCTGAAAAACAAAGCTAAAGTTGAGTAAAGAAAGAGGATGTGAAAACCATTCCACACATGCTCGTTCCTCACTCTGAGAGTCTTACAGCGGTTATTATCTCCACTGCCGCGCAGCATGGGGTAATTAGCACTGCGGAGTCTAGCGAGGCGTGTTGTATGTATGCACGCAGTTCATGTGGCTATCAATATGTGTGTTGTGCATGTGTGCTATATGTTATGCAGGCTTACAGGAAGCTGCAGGAGAATCGCAGCGTAAGGATGAACAACTTGGTATCAGAGGAGTTTCTTTAACACAGATTACTTTATATCCCTGCTACTGTAAAGACTGCACAGCTGTAGGGAGACTGGCTGCAGCCAAATTGAATTCCACGCTCTGTGTGGACTCCCACTGTGTATTGAATCCACAGAGGGATAAAGCAGGAATAAAGCTGTTGTTTAATGTATTGTGTGCAGTGAGAAATAAGGAATATATGCTCACTCAGGCACATATATATATATATATATATATCCCCTCTAGATATGGCGGAGGTGGTGATAGGCTGCAAAATAAGGACATTTCATCACAGATGACTCTCAGCATATGGGCCTGGTAGCTTCCAAATCAGTATTAAGAAGGGAGATTAATCTGCTGGCCTAATTGTGAGCTTAAAAGAGAGAGTACTGTTTTTTCCTTCCTTTTTTTGTCCCAAGCAAAAGAGTGAAGGGAATTAAGAGGCACAGAACTGATCCATATGCATGGCTGGATCTGGCTTAATTGCAGCATTGTGGTGCGCTGGGATCAGATGATATGGACCAAAGGCTAGCGATGCGAGGTGCCATCCTGAGTATGTGCTGAAAGAGGAGATGAGCGGAGTGCCAGCCAGATAGACTGATTTGGGGGGCTGGATCACAGCGGTGAACCAGGGGTAAATTCTGCCTCTGAGGATGAACACAGTCTGCAAAAGTTTTAGGAAAATAAGAGAAATTTGAAGATGTAGATTATGCGCTATGGACATAAATAATGCAAGGTACAGTATATCTTCCTGCACCCTGAAAGGATTAGTTGAAGATACTACAGTTACTATGTGCTATCCAAAGTAAACATCCTGATCTTTTAAAAAAAAAAAAAAAGACTGCATGTTGGCTTGACTTGTTGCTCATTTGAAAACTGCATAAAAAACATTGGTCCATGGCCTCGTTGCTGGAAGCTAATGAAGTTCACTGATCATGAAACATATTCTGTTTATCCTGAAGAAAAAAAAAAAAGATAGAAATCATCAGCCCATTTTGAGGAATGATTAAAAAAACTGAAGAAAAGGTCATGAAAAAGAGCAAAAGACCAACATGAGTTATGCACCATGAGTCATTTGGAGATAAAGGGCAACTTAGGCCTCTCTCTCTTCATCAGGGTGGTCAAAATGGAAGGCACCCTCCTGCTTCGGGTGTCAGCATGCTCTTAAAACGCCTTTACTGCCATGTACAGACTCTATAAAATGCTGCTTATTACACTAAATCTGCCATGCGCTTTACTTCACTGTTTGACCCCCCCCACCACCACCACCACCACAATCACAAACACACTCCTGCAAAGTCAATGGCATAAGAGCCCAGGATGAATTTTTGCTGTCCAACACTTCTTCTCACCATTGTATGGACTCCAATCGCAAAAACTTCCAAAAAGGAGGGTGTTCCTGGACTGCGAGAACACACGACTTGTGTTTTACACTGCAATTAATTTGGTTCCACTGTAGAAAAACGTGACACAGAATCGCCAGCAGTAGGATGGATGCAGGACAAATTGCATTGCCCACAGGAGAGCGGTGTAAAGCGGGCAGATCGATGCCAGAGAAGAAGCCTCGGGCAAAATACAACAAAGGGGGGATACAAGCAGAGCCGTCTTGGTTTCTTGGCATTTCAAGGCACATACCACATGGTCGTCTGTGGTGGGATTGAGCCCAGCTTCCTTGCTTCATGCTCTGGCACTCTCCTCTGCAGTACCATGCCATGAAACTAACCTTCAAGGTGCTACATGTAGCCGTTTTCTACATTGTTAAATCATTAGATTCTAATAAATTAATTATACCTCGGTGTGAAGACTTTGTCAGGAGGACTGGCAGCTACTCACGCATGTGCTTTTGTTCTTTGGCTGTACCGCGAAGGACATACGTGTTGGACATGATGGCGAGATGCTCGAAAAGACTTCGCTCCATTCGTGCTGGAAGAAAAGCGATCTTTTTCCTGTTCTTGTGCCACAAAGAAATCCAACAAATTTTCATCCAAATGCCACAGAGGCGTCCCATTTCCTCAGTCATGGTGTTGGGTTTTTAAATTTGAGCGATATGAAGAAGACACACGGCACAATTTCTTTCCCTACATGTTCTTTCTTCACTCCACAAGGTAAACACTGAAGACTGTACATCAGAGGTCAAGCATTATGTACTTGCCCTAAAGTGCTGACTTATATATCCTCATACAGCCTTGGACATCTTCATCTTTTTCTTCCACACTCTGGTTTCCTTCCTGACCTTCTTCCGATATGTGCAGCTTCTCTCTGTGTACCACCTTTTCTGTCACTCTACAAAGTAAGGCATCAAAAAGTGCAGAAAAAAAATGTGTAAAAGAAACCGAGTGACCCTCAGACTGCTTCTCCTCAGATCTTATGTGACAGTTGTCCCTCAGCCAGCGCTTTTCCTATGACGGCTCGCGTTTCTTTCCTGGAGCGATGGTAATGCTGCCGTCAAGACAGAAGACAGAGACGGCACCTGACTCCCGATGTGCTGGAAAAAGCTAACCTTTTAGTGGGATGACTGCCACTGCCGCTCAGTCTGGGTGAGATTACATGTATGATTTATACACATAATGAGGACCTCGCTATTTAGAGAAAATCTCGAGGATATTCAGCGGGAAGACAATGAAGTGGGATAAGTGGATAAAGCCCGTGACAGAAGACGGTGTTTGCTTCTATTATTCTGACTGGAGTTGGAAGGTCACTCCACCGAGGGGTAAAACAAAAATGGCAAAGATGAACTGATGTTGAGGTTGTGACTAGAGGGTCTTAACGTAGACAAAAGCTACCCTTTGCAAACGCAGTGCACTTTAGCTTATGACCTCTCACATAAAGAAAAAAAACAAAAAACAGCTGATCACACAACCACTTCCAAAAATTGACTCTAGCCCTATTTTTGAGAGCGTAAACAAAAATGTAATTAATGGGGAAATAGGACTTTTCACACACATTTGGTCTTTCTATATAGCAGCGCATTTGTCAGAGTAGCAGATACATAGCTTCAAAACTTGAGTTCCAATTTTGTGACTTAATCAAAAAGGCCCTATTAAATCTGTATATGTGGGTGTACAAACAGGTCAAACACATGCAACTGTAGTGCAAGAAAATGGGAGCGTATTTCGCAGGGTGCTGAAACATCTATCCCTGATTCACAAAATCTGTCTTGCATTCTCAGTTTTTCCTTCAGGAACCAGAGACACTGCAGCGTGTCATTAAATATTGCAGCCCTCATGTCATCATTCTTACCCGTGAGGTTGCGCAGGCCCAGCTGTCTCAGGCCGTAGTACCCGTCCCTCCTGTAGTTGAGGAAGATGGCCAGGGCGTAGCGATCCTCGTACAGTTTGGTGCCCCGGACGATCCGCAGGTTCTCCAGCGGCAGGTAGTCAAACTGGTTCAGAGCCACCAGCACGTAGCCGGTCACCTCTCTGATCGACTGCACGGGGAAAAAAAAAAAACAGAGGGGAGTGTATTTAATATGCACTGCAATGGCTGGGATTTGATGGTTTCAGGTTGTAAAACAAGATAAGGAAAGATAATTAGATGAAATACAATATGCAGACCATTTCCTCCAACACAAAACATATCATTAGACAGTGATGTTTAGGCAAATGAAGCAGCTAGGGATGTGGTGGATGGGGATTAGACTTTAATCCAGGAAATCAAATTTGCATCCTCTCAGAGTCAGACTCTCTTGACCTGAATCCTAACCCCGAACTGTAACCCCATTCTTTCCCCAAACTAAACTGTTTTTTTCATAACCACCACACAACGAATTACCCTGAATTTCACACTTTTTCTTCTAACTTCTATTTTAGTGCATTTTTTTTTTTTTTTTTTTTTTTTTTTTAGCCTCGTCAGCCTCATCGAATACACTTAATGCATTCTGCTCGTTTTCTGTGCGTGAAACATGTTATTTGCATTTTGAAATGTCAACCTCATAAAAGATTTTGGACATACAGACCAAAATGATTAAAATGTCAGCTCAATTGCAGACTGATTACACATCTCCTCTGATTACAGTCTCTCAGCTGTTATTTGTGGTTTGAGAAAGCCATGACACTGGCGGATATGGCATGACATTCACAGAGCTAATAACCAATCACGCCTTTAAAAACAATATATTCTAATCCAAATACAGCATTCTTCTAAATGCCGGAGGTAACATATGGAAACTCTCAAACATTCCTCAGACATGAGAATGAAATAAGAAAATAAATTTGACGTTTGATCAAGTTGCTAGGCCTTGGCTGACTGCCCGAGTCAGATACACTTGACATGGAAAAAAATAGTTCCAGTGTGCTGAAGAGCATGGCAGAGTGATGACCTCTGTGTTATGCACTTAATGAGGCAAATTAATTCAACTGCAAAGTCAGACTGAAGGATGGGGCCAAGGCTGGCACTTGATTTTTTTTTTTTTTTTTGAATATTTCATTTTAATCCTTCAAAAAAGTGTGTGTGTGTGTGTGTGTGTGTCCACATCCACAGGGTCATCACAAAACAATTGATTTGGGTTAAAGTCAATGGTCAATGATACCTACCACTGTGTTCTCATATCAACAGATAATACTACTACACAGGAATGCTGACATACCCTATTAATCAACTTGGCAGCCAATCACAACATCACATAATGTCATCATAGGATACTGGAATTTAGCTTGATGAATGTATGTGCATGTGTGTGTGTATGTGTGTGTGTGTGTGTGTGTGTGTGTGTGTGTGTGTGTGTGTGTGTGTGTGTGTGTCTTCTAATACTTAGCTTATTCCCTTGTTGCTACAACTCCAATCTCTGTGGCCATGCAATATTCATCTGAGTGTGTGTGTCAGCAGCACAAGCTTACTTATGCACGCACACACACACACACACTCACTCACTCACTCACACACACACACACACACACACACATTGAAACTCATAAAACACACATATGACAGCTTTTATGTTACACTAACACATTTTACCAGCCACCACTGACAAGCCTAATTAGAAGACTGCATTTAAAAGTGGTGGGAGAAACAATCTGCTTCCACACTGAGCTGTACAATGGAGGCATCGTTTGCAGCAGTTGGCAGACTGAATTTATTCCTGTGGCTTTTTGTTCTGCTTGAGTTTAATCCATTTTTTTTTTCCACAGTGGTCTTGATATACACTTTGTCAACAGCTGCTTATTTTCACCAGCGGGTCAGGGCCTAACACATGCAGAGATTCACATTATCTTCAAGACCAGCAAACACAATAGAGCTGGCTTTTACTTTTTTTTTTTTTTTTTTGGTATGATTTAAGTCCTATACTATCTATCTTGTTCAGTGTTCAGAGTTCTCATAATAAAATTTGCGCTGTTGACACTGATAACCTGTATAGGCCTACATTTTTCCACACAGAAAATCCACTGGAATTAATAAGGGAATCGATAAAGGATCGAATCGATGAGCAGAATCGATAATGGCATTGGTATCAATAAAATCTTATCAATTCCCCATCCCTTACCCTGACGGATAAGGTTCCCAAAGCAACAGGCAGCTACAGAGACATCCTAATGACCAGAGACAGGTCAGTAATGATGCTTGTGATTGGTTGGGACGAAGGGAGGAAATGAGTAATGCGAGGTTTGATTGGCTCCTGACCCCTGGGGGACACTAGTGGAGACTGACAGGTAGGACACCTCATGTGCAGTGTCTGCATTTCAGGATAATAGCAAGTAACTCAGATTAGCTTCTATACTGAGCGCTCAGAAAACACTGCGCACCTGCCAAGTTGGCCTATTGTAACACTAACACAATAGGAAGGAAACAGACAGTGGAGGTGCTTATTAGCAAGATTACAATGTGTCAATCACCTGAAGGGAGAAAGAACAACATAATAAAAGAGCAGTAGAATCCATTTCAGCGGAGGCTTTGATTAGCATACTTATTGCAAAAAGAATTTCTATTGTGAAGCACTCCACTGCCTGTCAAAAAACCCTTGGTGAAATCAATTTCTGTCAAATATGTTCTGTGAATTTTTTTTTTTTTTTTTTTTAATATTTATTCAAGAGTAGCAACTTGTGCAACTTAATGCAACTCTATGCAACTTATGACTCAGCCTCTAAAAAACAAAGTGTAGAGAAGAGGCTTTCTTCTGCAGGGGGCTTGTTGATCCGACCCCCGCGGTTGGAGTCATGCCGTTTCATCATTCCTGACCCTAGTGTGACCCTGTTTTTTTACTGCTGGGGGGCCGGGGTGCCTCACGAGCTCACCTTGCTATCATTAAATCCGCCGTGACCCCCATGTGCCTACCAGCGGCGCTGTGACTGGGAACGGGGGAGGCCGCTCCGCAACCCGACCCAGCTGTGGGCACGCACTCGGCTGCTGGCAGGCTCCACAGTGCTTCCACTGTGCCCCCTTCTCCCTGCCAGCCTCCGGGACCCGCTGGCAAAACCAAAGAAAAACTGTTTCCCTGTTGCCTAGCAACCACAGGAAAGCCTTCCAGCGGGAGCCAGGGAGAGCAAAAAGGGAGAGCGTCCAGAAGAAAGAAAAAAAAAACAGACTTAGAAAGGATTTTTTTTTGTTGTAATTTAATTAATTAAATTAAAGGATTACTCTGCCCTTTCTCAGTAAATTTCCTTCCCTTTGACAATATTTAATTTCTTTCCATTGCTGTAAATAGCTTTTTTTCTGAGAGCTTTCTAGATCAATATTTATCTGCATCCCTCTGTGCTGGAGGAGAGAGGAAGCAGGGAGACAAGGAGGAGGGAGGTCCGGAGGGAAGTAAACACAAGCACCTGCATTTCCCCTCCTGCCGCATCAACCGTGCTCTGTTTCAGAAACACGAACACAGAAGCTGAGGGACGCAACTTGGAGAAGCTGTCCACCGCTGCCTCGTGGGCGATGTGCTCAGACTTCACAAGGTGGACGGTTGGCAGATAAACTGGTGTTTTTTCTCCAAACATAACACACTTAACAAGGTGAGTGGGAGGGCTAATTTGTACCAACAAGGTTCATGAACCCTCGGTTGCTCACACCCTATCCCCTCAATCCTCGCTTGAAATAACCCTTAGAAAAAGTGTTTAAAGTGGATTTAAAAAGAGCTAAAATCTTTACACAGGCTGGCACAAGTCCAGGTTATTATTTCAGCTATTTCTGCAGAATCTTTTGATTCCAGCTCCACTCTGATGCATCCGAGGGCTGTTGTGTTGTGAGAGCCACAGAGGGTTTGTGCAGGATGTTGCCACAATCTTAACACACATACAGGCCTCATATATACTCTGATATGTGAACGCAGGAGAAAAAAAAAAAAAAACGCCAAGAGGCAGAGACAAGACATAGTAGACACAGGTCAACTACCCACAATGCATTGCAAGTTTAAAGTTTCCTCTAGCGCTTTTCTCCATCAATCGTAAGCAATTAGTGGCCTAGTGTGGAGCACTCAGTCAAACAGAATCCCATGCAGTCCCGATAGGCTTGCTTCCTCTCTTCTCACGGTTTACTTCTGGGCAAATTGTGAATTTCACATGTTGGTAAATTGCTCTTTGTATCTCCAGGATACATTGTATTAAGGACCAGGCAGGGGAGCCAAAAGTGTTTTATTTACTCCACACAGCATCATCATGATAGAAGGCGCCCTCGCTGTCTTGGAAACCGACACATCTTGATGTGAGGCAGAGCTGCTGTGCTCAGGCACCTGTAACCCCTCCAGATATGTGGAAATGTTTTCAGTGTCTCACAGTATTGAGACACAGCTATTCACCTCGCATTGGCACTATATAGTCACTTTAATTTGGAGGCGCTATTTCGATTCGAGCTGCGCTGAAATAAACCAACAATTGTTCTGCAAAGTAAATTTTATCAGTTAATGAATTGAGAGCTGCTTTGACAGTGCGCACAGTCGGCTGTTCAGTGTCATCATTCAGCAACAGTTGGTAAAGGGAAAAGCAGAAGCATAAGAAGTGAATATAAAGCTGGAGTAAAGACGAAAAAATAGAGTGACTATTGGCTCACCAGCGTTCAGGAACCTCCAGCTTTAACTCAAATATGACTTAACAGACACTTATGTAAGCTAATCTACCAAAATGCAAGATGTTTTTAGGGTAATAGCCTGCATGTCTACAATCATTTATTCATCCAACTTACTTTGCGGATACTCAGGAAACCTTGCCAACACAGCCAATAGATTTGCATACAAATTTCTCCAGTTTCAGTCTTCCCAAGAATCGCCTTTGGGCTTCACCCAGATTTAGAGAGAAATGCTGCATCAGAGAATTTAAGAGAGGTTTGAATTAAAAAGATCATTGTTCTGTACTCTCCACCTGCTCACACGTGCAGTGCTGTTGAAATTTTTCACCTTTTATAAGATAATTTCAGCCCTTTTTTCATCTCCCATGTGTTTTACTGGTCAACACCCAAAAGGATCAAGGTCAACACTTTATCTCTGATAGCTGGCTTACTCACCACTAC